ATTTTATTTGACAGCACAAGTAGGGGGAGGAGTAGAGGGAGATGCAGACTCCCCGCCGAGCAGGGAGCTGGATGCAGGACTCGATCCCAGGACCCTGGGATCATGACCTGAGCTGAAGGTAGATGCCAAACTGACTGAGCCATCCAGGTCTTTAAAATGGATTATATATATATATATATATATTTTAAAGATTTATTTATTTATTTGACAGAGACACAGTGAAAGAGGGAACACAAGCAGGGGGAGTGGGAGAAGGAGAAGCAGGTCTCCCGCAGAGCAGGGAGCCCGATGCGGGGCTTGATCCCAGGACCCCGGGATCATGACCAGAGCCGAAGGCAGATGCTTAACGACTGAGCCACCCAGTCGCCCCTAAAATGGATTATATTTTGAAATGTATTAGAAGAGCTAGGTTTTTAAGTCCTCTCTATGCTCAACATGGGGCTCGAACTCCTGACCTTGAAATTGAGTCACATGCTCTGTACAGGGACTGGCCCAGCCGGGTGCCCCTAGAAGAGCTACATCTTTAAAGGACCCTTGCCAGAAGTTCTTTAGTGAGGAAGTTCTCAGGTACTTTAGATTTTCTTTAAAAGCGGGATTACTGCAGAGCAGAATACATGACCCCAAAAGATGTCACTTTCACGTGTGGATTAGTTTGAGCTGAAGGCAATCGACACAGCGGATGCAAGAAAAATTCTTAACCTCTCAACTACCTAGAAGAGTTTGGATAAGGGGCCTCACTCGGAGTGGTTACCAGCTATAAACTTTTACCTGCACGACCTATCTTCCTGTGAATGCTCCTATCCCCTTCTTTAGCTCAGGATGGAGCAGAAGTCTCAACTGCCTGGCTTGTCCTTGGGGCTCATGTACTTATGGGGCCCCCCATACCTACCCAATCAGACTTTTCTGTTAACCTGTTTGATATGTCAGTTAGATTATTAGGCCAAGGAACCTTGCAGGTGGAGGAGAAAAGTCTCCTCCCCTGCAGCTGGTGCAGTGGGCAGCATCTTCACCGGGAGGACATTCCTCCCTCTGCGGCTGCTGCAGCTGAGCTCCTGGGCCTCCGATAAGTGCTGCCTACCATCAGGTAACGATTTTCACCACGCTAGTGTTCCAATCTCTGCGTGCAAGGGTCTCATGGAAGGGAGAATGGACAGTCCTTCCTTTCATAAACTCAGACTAGCAGCAGCAAATATTTGTAGAACTAGTTTCTTGGATGTAATGACTTGTTAAAGTTTGTTATGAGTACTCTTGGTTTCTGTTGATCCTTTTCCTCCCAGAGATGGTCAGTTTTTCTTTATTGTTTTTTGTCCTAAAGCAGAATTGCCATAGAGCAGAACACGGGCACAGGCCTTGTGAGCCAGCCCCACAGACTGGCTCTGTTTGGACATAAATTGCTCGGGATTAATGTGTAGATGCCTTGCCAAGGGGGCTCTTGAAAGCCACAGCTGAGAAGCTGGCGGGCACGGGAGGATCATTTACCGGCTGTGGGAGTGTTTGCCACTGAATTCGTGGGCTCCACGTTCAGGTAAGTTGGTCATGTAACGGGTTAGATTGACACCAGGTCACCCACCGACCTTAAGAAAATTTCTGTACAGTGTGAAACACCGCACAGTCCCCAACCCAGAGACCCGTTTCTTTTAGGCGTCAGTCTGGCTCCAAGAGACCCAAAGCTCGGCTGAAGCTGTTAACTTTTTATTTTTCTCATGGACGTTTTCCTTGCATGTTGCTTTATGTCCTGACTGCCCGACTTTGTGACCAGCGAGCATGTTCTCCCTGGGCCAGATGGTCCACTTACTCGGGTGCAGCTGGTGGCCGGCTGAACTGACTGGGGACCCGAGACCCTAAACCACCGGCAGCACTGTGTCTGGCCACCCCAGCTCCCAGCAGTTTGTCATCAAGGGCTTTTGTCCTCACCACCGTTATTGTCTTGTTGGTGCTGGGAAAGCCCCATTCCAGGAGCACCGCCTGGTGTCCGAGGTTAGTGGGTCACTGGAGGCACCTCATGTTCTCTTGGGAAACTGGACACACGGTTACCTCAGTCTGATCACTTGTGACCATCAAGTCTTGGTTTTGAGGCTAACTCCGGGAGTGAGCTCTCCGGGCTGTGAGGGCTGCCCCTTCTGCATTCTCCAGGTGCCTCTGCTCTTCACCTCATAAAGCCTTTCCACTACTGACGTCAACCTACATCCTACTCTGAAGGGCCTGATGACGGATCCTCTGAATCGGCTCTGTTTGAAAGAAAAATGTTTTTAGAGAGCACTCATCCCAAACAACTGCCTCACTGGTATCTCTGGAAAAGACCAAACTACAAAGTGGATCAAAAGTATAATGGCCAGCATTAGGGACTCCCTTAACTAAGTGAAAGAGCAGATATCACAACAAAATTAAACTTGACATCCAGGGCGCCTGGGTGGCTCAGTCGTTGGGCATTTGCCTTCGGCTCAGGTCATGGTCCCAGGGTCCTGGGATCGAGCCCCGCGTCGGGCTCCCTGCTCAGCGGGGCGTCTGCTTCTCCTTCTCCCACTGCCCCTGCTTGTGTTCCTGCTCTCGCTCGCTCTGTCAAATACATAAAATCTTTAAAAAAAAAAATGACATCCAATGTAAATTCCCCTCCTTAAAATCTGAAGAGTTACTCACCCAGCCTTCCAGCCTCCCTGCTTAACGTGTATTCCCGAACTGTGATCCCGGAAGCCGTGGGTAGCCGCAGAAATGGTGAATTCTAAGCTTGTTTCATGTCCTGAGAACCGGGATTGGTCAGGTTGGGGGCTCCAAAATGTGGCCAGACACAAGTGTAGGAGGGTGCGTCCCCTTTGTGGCTACATACGGGTCGGCAGAAGTGTGGGCTAACCCCGTGCAGCCAGGGTGCCACCAGCCTGCAGCCAGCCCTCGGGGGCATCACAACCAGGGTGGTGAAGGTGGAAGGCCTTCAGGAGGAACGCCAGAGATTATGTAAGCAGGACACTTAAAAGCAAGGGTTTCCAAATCAGAGTGGGATGCCTATTTTAATTAGTATGCAGAAGCCTCCAAAAAACAATTCCAAAATCGCTTTGTTGAAAGAACTGTTGTAGTTTTAATTTCTCCACTTGATCTTAGCCAAAAGGCCGAGAAGCGATTAGCTTTAATTTCTCGTTAGCTCTTTACAAGAGGTCCCTAAAACGTCGGACCATCTCCTGCTGCACCCCTCTGTCCCCAAGGCCCGTCCCCGGAGACTGCTGGGGATGCTCTTCAAAGGTCAAAGGCCACAGAAGAACGTCCTAAACACAAAATCCTCAAATGGATGAGCTCCTGCGATCAGTAGATAAAAAGGCAGAAAATAAGAGGGGAGACCCCTGGTGTGACTGAACTTTTGACCATAGCTGATATTCAGAGCCTGACAGGATTATTTTTTTACTTAATTTTGTGCAGGTCTTTCCCCCAAGCTAAAATAAAACTGTGTCCCCAGAGGGCAAGAAGCAAGCCGGAGGTCACTTCGTTGGGTGCGTGGATCGGCCTGGTGACATTCAGGCTGCAACCCTGTTCTCCCGGGATTTGGAAACAACGGTCTTGCAAATCTCTTCAAAACCAGAAGTGTGGCTCTAGCAGCAGTTCCTCCCCCATCTGTCTTTACCGATCCTGACCCCCGCCCCCCGCCCCGTGTTCACAGATCCGGTAAGAGGCGGACGCTGGGACGGACCTGCGAGAACAGGTGAATAAGCCTCTGAACTCCATCCAGAGAGTTCTGGAGACTTTCTTTGTGCCTTTGTGATGCAGATTTTCTACCCCCAGCTTCTCAGGGACCTCAGAGCAGTGCTTTGAAATGCAAACTTTAGGGAGAGGCTTCTCGTCAGAGGGGGAAGGGGGATGGGGTTTATCTACTTTTGGCTTCCTTTTAGACAGGAGCTTTTAAAGCTATTTGGGTCTATTAGCAAACACGTTTTTTGTGCCACATGGAACCAAACTGTACTAACAGGAAGCCTAGGTCTCTAGGAATTGGCAAATTGGCGTTGTTTTATAATCTAGAGAATACTAATGTGACAGTTCACAATTGCTTGTTGGCATTCCCTAGAAATGTCTCAGGCTTAAAAAATTGTGATTGAAGCTACTAGAAATAATAAGGAAAACATTCTGTATGCAAGAGACGTGTGATTTTCGGTAAAAGGAGGTCTGAGGAGTGAAGATGCACTTTTGTTGAGGACAAAGAAAGCTGCAGGTTTGTGGAAAAGGTTTTTTTTTTTTAACTTAAGATTGATTTGTCAGCGTACGTGCGCACGCAGGACTGGCGGGCAGAGGGAGCAGCAGACTCCCCGCTGAGGGGCTCCACCCCAGGGCCCTGGGATCATGACCTGAGCCAAAGGCAGACGCTTAACGACTGAGCCACCCAGGCGCCCCTGGAAAAGGAATCTTTGAAGAGAAATTTTAATGTGTGGTCAAGCTGGCTAAGGTTAAAATTTAGTTTTAATATCAGAAGTGGTACAAAACTGGTTTTTACTCTTAAAATGAAATCATCTTCAGGTTTGCTGTTGACAAGAGACTGTGAAAGTTTCTTTACCTTTTAAATAATGTGCCAGGAAGCCAAGGCTCTGTACCTTACACCAGCTGTTCGGTTTCTGGCCCTTTGACCAAATCAACCGAAGTAGAGTTGACAGCCATCTGTGACCCTCTTCAGTCAAGTGTCCAAACATGTTGATATTTTCGACCAACTTCCCCAAATCAAATTCTAAATAAGGCCTTCCTTGACCTCGACCTAAGTTTTGAGAATTTCCAGGGGGTTCCTGGACCATCTCACGAGATTTGCTCTCTTATACAAAGAACGATGTTACATTAAGTAGGCTTATTTGATGTGTAAAGTTATATGGAAAGCATGTCAAATATGTGATGATAAACCTTAGGCTGCACTGTAGGGGCGAATATTAATATAAATGTTCTACAAATTACGTGAAATTCCTAGAAACCTAGTATGTCCTGGATGATGTTGGTGATAATCTCAGTTATCTTAAAACATACAAAAATAAGCAGCTAGCTTTGTCAGTTCCATAATCACGAACTCTCCTCAGATCTTTAACAAGGGGCAGCCTAAGCCTTGTCGGTTACAGACCAGTTGCTTTACTGTGACGCTCGGCGCGGCCTCTTCCTGCAGAGGCACCTCCCCTTCAGGGAGAGTCAAGGAGAAGACTGGCCAGGACGGGCTTCTGAGAGTCTTACAATCGGGAAAGTGAGCTGGGTAAGACTTTCTAGAACTAAAGGAACTGCATGAACTTAGAACTATAATTCCATGACTTCTGCTTTCAAACATTGCCTGTTCTTTCGTTTTTCCAGATTTAAGGAAACCTTTGAAGGTATCAACAATTTAAGATACACCCTTGTGAACGAAGATGAAACCATTTTTCTCTGCTATCTCCAGAATTTGCCAACTTAGTCTAAATTCTCATTTTAGTGGCAATATATATGCATGAGTGCACTAAGAATCTGTTCTTGCAACAGGACACGATTGGGAATGTTGATTACGTTACCAGGCTTTGACCTAGACTGTGCTATTTGAGAGCGTTGTAAAGACTCTGAGATGATCAGCTTTCAGGAACTAAGGCCGACCTTATGGAGCCAATAAAGACCCTGGGGGAACAACAGCCTGGCCCCTTGCTTACAGGGTTCCCGGCAGCCTGGCCTGGTGAGCACTTCCTGGCAGGCCGAAGAACCTCAGGATATTTTGGGGACTTTGAGAGGAGAGGAATTCACCTAAATCTGTATGTATTGCAGGCAAAGTCTGACAGCAGGTCCTTGGTGTGGCTTCTTAGCCTGGAGAGGCTTTTGAGGTTCATCCAAGACTCTATGGAAAGTTCCAGCAAAGCAGACTTAATAGAGCCTATACGGTGAGCACTGTTATTCTGCACTTCTATAAATAACCAGGCCGGGTTACTGAAACTAGACTCAATTGGAAAGCAGACTTAGTCTTGCTATGGTTGCTTTGATGGATGTTGGGTGGCTGCAGAGAGACCTTATGTTTCAGTAATATGCCTTCGTGGACCGCAGAGTCTAGTGCTGCTCCTGGGCTGTGAGGTTTTGTTTTCTAGCTGTAAACTGGACTAGGTCCAAATTCTTCTATTTTCTTCCTATATTTGGCTGCAACTCTCCAAACTGATGTGTCCCCTTCTCACTTGGGAGTTGTTGAGAACTAAAACTGCCCTTTTCCTGCAGCCGTGTGAGCTAGAGCCGGACCCCCTGACATACACTCTGGAGAAACCACCCCAGCTCCCGTGGGGGCCACTCAGAAAGCTTGCCAGCCATCCAGTTTCCACTACCTGGCTTTACTTCATCTGAAGATGCTCCCAGCTCTGGAGCTCAGACACTGGGACGGCAGTGACTCGGCTCCACTTCCTTCTGCCTCCACATCGAACACCTGGTTACTCACACCCAGGCCTCACTCGGGAGCCCTCTCTTGCATAGGTGCCTCCCAAGCTGAGACCCAGCTGCTTAATGGAACCGACCTATTCTCCGCGCTAAGAGACGAGGTCAGTGAGCTAGAGCAGTCTACCAGCTCGCTTTCTGGACTGCAGAATTTCCCGGAGATTTCAAAGGCAGGACTCAGGCAGGGGAGGATATGTGCCCCCCAAATATGTTACTTTGGCAAGTGGGTTAGTTTGAGCTGAAGACAATCAGGATGCAGGTTTAAGAAAAACGTTTACTTCTCCCTCAACTACTTAGAAGGGTTTGGATGGGGGCTTTGCTCAGAGGGAGCTGTTCCCAGCTATAAACTTTTATCTGAATGGCTTATCTGTTACAATGGGGCAAAGTTCTGTGAATCCCCCTCTTCTCCCGCTGAAGCCCCAGGCGCCTAACTCCTTCCTTAGCTCAGGATGGCACAGAAGCCTCAATTGCCTGGCTTGGGTCTCCTATTCTTATGGGTTTCTCTTACGTATGTGATTAAACTTTTCTCCTGTAACCTGTCTGACATCAGTTTGCTTATTAGAACACCCAAAGAACCTAGCAGGGTGGAGGAGAAAACTCCTCCCCTCTACTCTGTAATACTAAAGCAAATGTCCCAGCATACAGGATGAAGGAACACCTAAATCGACATGTGCTTGGTTCAAAAATACCTCGTAGCCCACCTGCTTGTGCACGTTCAGTGGTCTCCCTTGGTTGTACAAACCACAGAAGAAATACGGCGGGTTCTTTCCCCCATTGCCAGGCCTGTCCAGCATCAGCTGAAAAGGAATTGGATGAATACAAGTGATGTGTTTAGGTCTGGGATGTGAGAGGAGCGAAGGAGAGAGAAGGTGCATGGCGGTCTGTTGGGTGTTTCTCTGCCTTTATGCCCACATGTACTGGAGATCTACAGAATGAGAAGAGTTGGTTTTTCAGCTTTTCTCTGAGGATATTCAGAGTTATGAGATGAAGCAGCTCAGCTTCCAAGAATAAACAAAAGGGACCCAGGGCTGCCCCTGAGCCACTGCTGCCCGCGCCCGCCACCCGCAGCCCATGTTCGGCCCCCTGGACTCCTAACCCCCGGCAGAGCTGTGGGCACGGGGCCTGCTGGAGTCCGACAAACCGCCGGACAGTCTGGGCCTCTGCATGGCTCCGGATGAAGAAGACCGCTCCCCGGCACTCGTGGAAGATTTTATTGACTTTGTCAGTCGTGTTCATCTCTTAGCTCCTGTGTCCACCATTCAGAGGCCCTGGGCGCTCCAGGGAGTGAGTGTCCTATGCAAGCTTGAGGCACTGGGTGTTGAAGCTGTCCCCCTCCTTGCCGGCGACTGCCTCGAGCAGGGACTGCTTCTTCTGCATGCTGCGAGAAGACTCCAGCTCGTACATGGTGGTCAGGTTGAAGAGCACGCTCTCGTGCAGATAGTGCTTGGGGTCCTGCTGGACCATGGCCTCCAGCTGCCGGAGGGAGTCCTTGAGTTTGCCCAGGTAGAGCAGACACACGGCGGCATTGTTGTTGGCCTGGGGGGAGGACACAGGCATGGGATTGGACCCGGCGGCCATGTGTCTGCTCGCGGGGGGGCGGGAGGTGGGCAGCCGAGGCCGGCCCTGCCGGGAACCTGCCCACCCACTGGGGATGGGTGCCCATGGACGCTGGACAGGCCCCCGATGTCAGCCCCCGGCTCTTGTGGGGGCCTTACCACGGCATTTGTTGGGTCAATCCTGAGGATTTCTGTGAAGAATCTGTGGGCTTCTGCAAAGTTATTCTGACCGAGGTGAAGGAACGCTCTGGAACATAAAGGACAGAGCAGTGAAGCAGGAAGAGGGGTTAACGGCACAGACAGGAGCGTGCCGCATCTCCTGGGCATGCTTCTGAGCAGCCTGGTGCTGGGGGTGGGGGGGGAGGATGGACGCTGCAGCTGCAGGAGCCACATCGTGTGCCCGGCTGGCAAATGAACTCTTGTGACAGGTGAAGTTACGACCTCTGACTGAAGTGACTGCCTGCTATAAAAACGGACACCCGCGTGCTCGCTACTTTCTGCAGCAGTGTGAGCTCTGCTCCCGGCCCAGGCTCCGTCTTCGTAAACCCCCACCTCCACCCAGCTCCACACTGTGCGTGTGACTCCTACAGACATGAAAACATGGGCATTAAAGCAGCTGGGGGGGGCTAGAAAGAATACACATTTATGCAAATTTATGTTGAAAATGGGCAATATAAACAGTACTTTGAAAAACAAGGGGAAAACATTTTAAAGTCTGTTGAGACTGAAAGGTGCCTAAGTTCAAGGAGACACCAGTGGGTGCGTCGGGTGGTGACGACTTGTGTGTCAGGTCTGGGACGTGAGGCAGGAACACCGTCCCTAGAGGGCTTTACTACACAGAATCTTGGGAGATTTGAGAAAGTAGTCTTTTTTAAAGAGGTTTACCTGTTCATTAAGACCATTATCTCGCCTTGCAGTCCATCCAGTTTCTGGGTTACTTTCTCCACGTCCTGAAAATACTTCTCAGCTGTTTTGATGTCTCCAATCTGCTTTGACAAAGTTACTTAGGTAACAAAATTAGCAAGTGTACATCCACACACACGGTTTCATGATGGGTCAGTTCAGAAGACATGTTCGCACCAGGTGGGGAACCTCTGGTAACATCACTAATCATTATTTCTTGTAACAGTGAATGCAATTTAGGACACAGGGGAAGGTCAACACCCATAGGTCAGGAATGAACTGAATTACATGCCTTATTAAGTTTTAGTTTTTAATTTGTACCTTTTGAAAGGAATCCATCATTAAGCAAAATAATAAAGGATAACTTTCAGGGGCGCCTGGGTGGCTCAGTTGTTAAATGTCTGCCTTTGGCTCAGGTTGTGATCCCGGGGTCCTGGGATCGAGCCCCACATCGGGCTCCCTGCTCCGCGGGAAGCCTGCTTCTCCCTCTCCCGCTCCCCCTGCTTGTGTTCCCTCTCTCACTGTGTCTCTCTCTGTCAAATAAATAAAATCTTAAAAAAAACCCCACAATAAAACAGATCAATGAACCCAGGAGCTGGTTCTATGGAGAGATCAACAAAATTGATAAACCTTTAGCCAGACTCATGGAAAAAAAAGACTCAAAATCACAAATGAGAGAGGAGAAATAGCCAACAGAGAAACAGAATTATAACAATACTGTGAAAAATTATAACAAATTGGACAACTGAGAAGAAATGGGTAGATTCCTAGAAACACAAACTACTAAAACTGAAACAGGAAGAAATAGAAATTTTGAACAATCCAATTTCCTGCAGTGAAATTTAATCACTAACTAAAATCTCTCAACAAAAAGTCCAGGACTAGATGGCTTCACAGGGGAATTCTACGAAACATATAAAGAAGAGTTAATAATATTCTTTTCAAACTCTTCCAAAAGAACAGAAAAGGAAGGAAAACTTCCAAATTCATTCTATGAGGCCAGCATTACCCTGATACCAAAACCAGATAAAGACACCACAGAAAAAGAGAACTATAGACCAATATCCCTGATGAACATAGACGTAAAAGTCCTCAATAAAATATTAGCAAGCCCAATCCAACAATACATTAGAAAAATAATTTACCACAATCAAATGGGATTTATCCCTGGGCTGCAAGGGTGGTTCACTATTTGCAAATCAATGTGATACATTACATCAATAAGAGAAAGGATAAAAACCATGTGATCATTTCAATAGATGCAGAAAAAGTATTTGACAAAGTACAACATCCATTCATAATAAAAACCCTCAACAATGTAGATTTAGAGGGAACATCCCTCAACATAATAAAGGGCATGTATGAAAAAAACACAGATAACATCCTCCTCAAGGGGGAAAAACAGAGCTTTTCCCCTAATGTCAGGAACAAGACAGGGATGTCTACTCAGCACTTTTATTCAACATAATACTGGAAGTCCTTGCCTCAGCAATCATACAAGAAAAAGAAATAAAAGGCATCAAAATTGGTAAGGAAGAAGCCAAACTTTCGCTATTTGCAGATGACATGACACTATATACAGAAAACCCAGAGACCACCAAAAAGCTACTAGAACTGACAAATTCAGTAAAGTCACAGGGTATAAAATCAGTGTATAGAAATCTATCGCATTCCTACACCCTGATAACGAAGCAGCAGAAAGAGAAATCAAGGAATCTCATTTACAACTGCACCCAAAATAATAAAATACCTAGGAATAAACCTAACCAAAGAGGTAAAAGATCTGTACTCTGAAAACTAGAAAACACTGATGAAAGAAATTGAAGACACAAAGAAATGGAAAGACATTCAATGCTCGGGGATTGGAAGAACATATATTGTTAAAATGTCTATATTAGAGCAATCTACAGATTTAATGCAATCCCTATCATAATACCAATAGCATTTTCCCCAGTGTTAGAACAAACAATCCTAAAATTTGTATAGAACCACAAGACCCCGAATAGCCAAAGCAATCTTGAAAAAGAAAAGCAAAGCTGGAGGCATCACAATTCCAGACTTTAAGTTATATTGCAAAGCTGTAGTGTTCAAAACAGTATGGTATTGGCACAAAAACAGACACATAGATCAATGAAACAAAATAGAAAACCCAGAAATAAACCCACAATTATATGGTCAATTAATCTTCAACAAAGGAAGCAAGAATATACAATGGGGAAAAGACAGTCTCTTCAAAAAATGGTGTTGGGAAAACTGGACCGCTTTCTGACACCATACACAAAAATAAACTCAAAAATGATTTAAAGACCTAAATGTGAGACCTGAAACCATAAAATACTAGAAGAGAGCACAGACTATAACCGCTGTGACATCAGCCGTAGCAACGTTTTTCTAGAGAAGTCTCCTGAGGCAAGGGAAGCAAA